TGTCACCTGGTAACCACCTGTAGCAGGCTGCATGTCGAATGACTGTGTAAACAATACTATTATCAGCAACGAGCATCGTGTCTTCACGCGCCTTCACGACATAACTTTCATCACCATCACTTGCGGCACCCTGTCTCTGTATGCTCACACTGCACTCTCCAAACTAACCATCTAAACCACACCAGACAAAGCTGACGACTTCAGTGTTGCAAGTATCGGCTAAGAAGTCAGTAGTCACTCTCTCACAATGCTCGCCTTCAGGGGTCTTCCTCCCGGTATATCACTCGCTGAACTGCAAAGTGTTGCGAGTGAAAAGGCGACTGATATCATCGAAAATTATCAATGCCTCGGATACATTCTTGATCGCCATCAAGGCGTGATAAACAAACGATGGAAAAAGAAAAAGGGCTTTCAAAGGCTAAAGATCTTGCTCGAAGTCTGGCCGAATATGGCCATCTCCCATCGGCCAGATTTCGCGGTCGTTCGAAGATATGACGGCAAGGACAAGCGCGCAAGTCAGGAGGAACGAGACGCGTTGATATGGCCATACATCAATCAGCAAGATCTGGTTAAAACGACACCATTACCACTATTACTCAACTCTCGGGGGAGGAATCATCCGTCGACTTTTGCCGCCGCTGATAGTAATGCCATGCATCTTGGAAGGGTTACTGGGCACATCTTCACCCTTGTTCTATCCGAGTATGCTATGATTCTCAACGGTATCTCACAAGATCATGAGTACGGCAGGATCTTAGCATGGAAAGATCATAAAGACGCCTTTGACTCGGCGCAAACTCGTCACCAGTTTCGCGTCGGTGACGGGCTTTTCGTTCTCGAGGCTCAGAGTCGACTCATGAGGTTTCTTGTTGCTTGCTGTCTATTGATACTGCACGATATCCCCCCAGAGCAACTGATCAGCGATCTATATCCAGTCAAAGGTGAGCCGTTATCTAGCGGTATCGCAGACATCAACGGCGCGACCTCACTAGTCGTCATGGCGGAGGAGGCTCCATATCGTCCCCCTTCGGATATCGATCTAATGCGCATCGAGTCACTGCTCGACGCGCAGGTGGCCCAATTCGAAGACCACGCTTGGTCACTTCGAGAGGACCCGAGTTACTTCTCTGATCGATTGTTTGAAATAAGAGAGCACCGAAAGGAGATGATTAAAGACGACCAGGGTTCCATTCACCCAACCGCCGAGCCACCACAAGAAAGCTTCTGGGCACGAATTGTGTTTAGTATGCTCGGGAATGTTTACCTAAAGTTTGAGAGATATTCGAAGCTTCGAAATCAAGCTGCTAAGCTACGACAACTTAGAGAAGTGCATGCCGACAACATCATTCCCCGGAAAGATCTACCCGAAGAATACCTGGATGCTCTACTCAAGTTTCGTTATTATATCGAGCAGACGGTTAGGTACATACTGAAGCAATTGAAGGATGCTGTTCCATCATCGCTGCCTTTCCGGCCTAGTTTTATTCGGATAGTTCCAAAACACGATGGCTTTGATCCTATTGAGTTCAGACGCAAGGACGGATCAAAACTGGACAAGGCTGCGGAGCAATTACTTTCACTTCTTCACATCTTGTCGTCAGATGGTCAATTCCTCCATCAGGCTCGTCTACCTCTAATAGTTGACGAGCTTGGCCGACTGCTAAGCGCGGACCCAGAAGCACGGCAGATGGTATCTTCCCATGTTGCCATGCTGATCAGTGAGCTGTCGGTCCTGGGAGAATGTATGCGACAGATCGATACTTACTTCCCCTGGGTCCTTAGTTTCAAGAGCAATTTGGTCACTCGATTGGAGAATATACAGAGGCACTTTGACGAATCTTCGAGCCCAGAGCGGCGACTTCTTAAGCTGTTGAATGAGACTAAGTTGATAGCTCTCGTCCCTTTCGCTGACCCATCGGACTAGAAGTTCGATTACCCTATGGGCAAGAAGGCAACAAAAGAGATCAATGAGAGACTTCGAGCGGCCGAAGACTGCTTAGACGCTTTCTGGGACAAGGCTGATGCCATTATACTACCTGCTATCGCTGATCTGGATGGCACGGCTTTCAAGCGATTTCTCATTCAACATCGACCTATATATCGGACTCCTAAATGGATCGAACCTCCCCAGCAAAAGGAAACGAAGCCAGAGCCCGGTATGGGGTCAAAGATCGATGCTCTCACGCAACAAGTCTCTACATTCTACCTCAACCCGGAGTCTTCCTCTTCGCACACAGAGCCACTACCAGCAGCCCCAAAGCCAAAAGAAAAAACCAGGGGCACGCCTGCTCCTGGTAGTACAGAGCTCACGACAAATTTAGGAACACCCGAAAAGGCAATACCTAACCCTAGACCTCGATTTGAGGTGGATGCTCGATCCCTCAATGTGTTCCGGGTCCTGTTCTTCAATCCCGCCACCAATACGACACCGGGTGAAATAACCTGGCAAGGATTCTTGCATGCCATGGCCTCGGTTGGATTCAGTGCCCAGAAGCTCTACGGGTCTGTTTGGCACTTCCAGCCATGCAACCTCGACGCCCAGAGAAGCATACAATTTCACGAGCCACACCCAAGCAAGAAGATCCGCTTCCTTGTTGCTCGACAGCACGGTAGAAGACTCAACAGGGTGTATGGGTGGTCCGGAGACATGTTTGTATTGGAACAAAAGGCGTAGGGGAGTTTGGTTGTCTGATTTGGCTAGGCAATGAGCCCGAGAAGGAGCATCGCTGATCTCCTTTCTCTGTGGATCTAGGATACAAATCTGATCTTGTCTAGGGGGTGTCCCATTCGGGGACACCAACTGTCAATATGTACATTGATGTAGTTATTTGGAAGCCTTTGTGACCCAGGTCAACAAGGAGGATATGTCAAGTCATTGTTTGTAACAAGTAAGGAAAGACCTGTCGGAAAGTGGTTCATCTATTTACTACATCAATTACTACACTCCTCGTGCATCTCTGCCCTCCATGATTTGAACTGGTCCGTGAAGGGAGTTGACCGCCATAAAGCCTCCTTTCCAAAGTGCCACAAGGCATCTTGCCAAGTATTCCAATAATGTGCACCATACGGCACTGCTCTAATAATGTATCCCAACTTCAAGTCGTCTGAGACTTCTTGCAGATTCCGCGTGTCCGTGAATGATTAGTCATAGAGCCCAAACGCTAGGAACAGTCCAACTTGGCCTAGTCGTGGGTTCGCTGCAAGCTGCGTGGTGTTGACATACTTGCTCAAGGGCGGTATTGTCAGCCCAAGATCTCCCGAGAACTGGCCAAAATAGGAGAAGCATTCTGTTGCATTAATGAACATCTCATAGCTCACACTAGCACCCTTACTCATACCACAGAAAGCACGCTGGCTCGAGTCATTTGATACGGCAAAGTTGGCTTCGACATGTGGAAACAGGTATTTCATCCAGTTTTTACACACGAGATCTAGTGTGCTCAGACCATGGCTCACTGCAGAGCTTCCATAGACAAGAGCAAAACCTCAAGAGGAGTTGAGACTGTAGAAGCTGGGTATGATGATATTGGAAGGCTTAAGATGACCGTTTGCGACGAGCCTGTCCAAGATGTGGTTCACTTGGCCTAGGTTTGGCCGCTCATAGGCGTTACAGCTGCCGCCATGGGAAATATACAGCACAGGGTACTTCTTCTCTCACGTGCGGCGGTTGGATAGCCGGGCGGGAGGTAGATCACATAGTCGTGCACGCTCGGCGCTGGATGTGTTGCGCCAGGCGATGTGTAGTTCACAGCCCGAACCGTGCCTCTAGAACTGGGTGCGTCACGTGGAAGCTCAAAGCCGAAACCCAGCTGAAGCGTAGAGTAGTGCTGGATTCGAGTGTCGTAAGACACCTGGATGGTGCTATAGATCATGTCGCCCGGGACATTGACGAAGGGCGGATTAGCTGGGTCCAAAGAAAATAAGTTACCATGGTCAATGGAGCAGATTGCTGGAAGGCGAGCATCAATAGTCCATGTCAGGCCGTCGTTTGACAGCACAAAATTAGTCCATGGCCACAGGTAGCCAGCCTGTCTACTCCTACCGTTTTGACACCGACGCCGCTTCCCGCTTGTGCACGGCAGCCTGGGCTTCGGTTTTTTCGGAGCACGGCTCGGGTCTTTGCTGAGATTTTGGTCTTCCCTACGCTCCGTACACCGGCTACATACCCATCGCAAATGTGACAGCCCTTCGAAACGTCAGTTACGAGCTGCGGTCTACCTGAATTGGCTTTGCAGCGACGGGCAGCCCAAAGCATCACGGGCTGGAACTGGGTCCTAGAGTGGCCGAGTACACAAAGTCGAAGCAGAACTTTGTGTACAATGGGACTGTGGACAACATACTTAATCTGCACATTGAGAGTGGCGACTTCAGAAAAGATCAAATCCAGTGGAAGATAAACCGTTGGGGCTACCTTATATTGCAGGGATTTGGCTCTTGGATATCTTTCGATGATGTTAGGAGGTTGGAATCGCAGACCTCTGACTCGTACGAGGTGCCGTATAAGTACAGTACCCCAATATACGTGGTGTAGAGCAGTTTGAGTTGTTGGGCCTACTCTCATTTGTATCTCTCTGTTTCTTGAGGCCAGTCTCCAGTTGTCGATAACTACTGTTTGTGATTTTGCAGCCTTTCAAGTTTCAACCCCCGCCCCGTGGTTTCTGCCCGGCTGATTAATAAGTCCCGTTCGGCCCCTCCGCTCCGCTCCGAACCCCTTAATGACAAACCCGCTTAGTTGGGTTATTTACACAACATAAAACCGCCGCAAATGCCAAAAGCACCTGCGTTGCACCCCTTCCAGCAAGGGTGCCTAGAAGCACACAGTCTACATCGTTGTAATTTCTGACACCGAGGTATAAAATAAGCAAGCGCCTGTTGCTCGCCGTCGATCGAACGTGTTTCCTTTTCGACAAATACAATACAACTCGAAAATAATGGCAAGCTCCGATTCCAACCCGGGGTGGCAGCGGCACGCCGATAATTCGTCTGAGGGCTCGAAACCAATGGACACAGAAAAGGCGGCGGATGGACACGTCCCGGGCCTCAATTCAGTCGAGGCTTTCAACGAGCGAGCTACGACTGAATTCCCTCATGGCATGCGTCTTGTCCTGATCATGATCTCACTTATGCTCAGTATCTTCTTGGTATCTTTAGATAATGTGAGTGGCTAGCCCTATCTGTGAGAACAAATCAATTCAGCTAATTCCCTTACCACCAGACTATCCTCGCCACTGCCATTCCCAAAATCACAGACGAGTTCCACGGTCTCGACAAGGTAGCATGGTATAGCTCAGCATACTTCATGACCTTTGGAGGGTTCCAGTCAACGTGGGGCAAGTTCTACAAGTACTTCTCACTGAAGATATATTTCATCGTTGCCATAGCCCTCTTTGAGCTTGGCAGCTTGATATGCGCCGTTTCGCCGAACTCGACAGCTTTGATTGTTGGACGCGCAATTGCAGGCCTCGGTGGTGCTGGTATTGGATCAGGCGCATTTACCATCATTGGATTTATTGCAGAGCCGCAGAAGCGGCCTGCATTGATCGGGTTCACCGGGGCGACATATGGAATCGCTGCTGTGCTGGGCCCTCTTATCGGTGGGGCCTTCTCCGACAGGGTCACCTGGCGATGGTGCTTCTATATCAACTTACCAATCGGTGGCTTGGCTACTGCGATTGTTCTGATCTATCTTCGGATCCCAAGTGAAGCAAAGCCAGCTGAGGCTAGCTGGAAAGAGAAGTTTCTACAGATGGACTTTCTTGGAGCAGTTCTCGTCATGTGCTTGATAATCTCATTTATCCTGGCACTCCAATATGGTGGACAGACCAAAGCTTGGGATAGCAGCGTTGTAATTGGTTTACTCGTGGGCTCTTTCGCTATCTTTGTTACCTGTGTCACTTGGGAGATATATCAGGGCGAGCGTGCCATGGTAGTCTTACGGATAGTGAGTTCCTCGTCTTTGAGCCTGGTGCCGAAAGCCCGCCAATCTGACAAACATGATTTAGTTCAAGAAGCGCGAGGTCTGGGTCAGTTGTATCTTTCAGTTCTTCTTTGCTGGTACCTACTTCGTTGTCCTCTTCTACCTCCCGATATATTTTCAGAGCGTCTTCGACGTTAGCCCTATTGGATCGGGCGTACGCAACCTGCCCTTCATCATTCTGCTCACGATTGCGGTCATTCTCCAAGGCGCTGTATTAACCAAAATCGGCTATTTCACTCCGATCATGGCTATCGGAGCGGGGCTTACAGCAATTGGCTGTGGCCTGTTTTATATGCTCGAAGTCGACACTTCAGTCGGAAAGTGGGTTGGATATCAGATCTTCACCGGCTTTGTTATAGGAATAACATTCCAGAACACCCTCACAGTAGTTCAAAGCACCTCCACGCCGGAGGACATGTCGTCCTCTACCGCCATGATCTTTTGTGAGTTCTTCCCTCATCAAGCGACTCGTAAAATAGGACTTCGATTAACCATAAACTGCAGTCTTCCAAATGATTGGTGGTGCGTTCCTCCTTTCAGCAGCGCAGTCAGCCTTCAACAACACGATAATAAGTACCGCGGCCTCCACGGCTCCTGGGATTAATCCTGCGCTACTCCTGGCAACCGGCGCCACTCAGATTCGCACGGCTTTCACACCTGCACAAGTTCCAGGTGTCATTGCTGCGTATATGGCAGGTCTTAAAGTCGTCTTCGCGATTACGATTGGAGCTTCTGGCTTCGCTTCTCTATTCAGCCTGTGCGGAAGCTGGAAGAAACTCCATGCAGAGGATATGAAAGATGCTGGCGGGGCTGCTTAAGAAGCTCTCAGCACCCGCTGTGAGTTTCACATATTTATCTCTCAAAACGGCCAAAACGGCCAGCGTGGTAACTATGAAGAGTTACTACCTATAGATTGTTTTTTCCCTTCTCTATAAGTACTCGTGTATAGATACGGTTTAGATTCATTCTGTTACTTTATTAATGTGAATTATAACCATAATTCTACAAAACAATAACTTGTCAAGCTAGCTAAAGTTGACCTCTTTAGCTTTCCCTAATAGTCCACGCATTTAAATAGGCGAGTAGGGACGGAGTGTTCAGTGGGGTGGAACGAACCCCTTTTGAGCCCCACTGCTTACTTAACCACGGAACGGAGCGTATGAGTAGACCGGTGATTTCGCAGCATTTCAGTGATTATTGTTTTCGGACTGAATTCTGTTCTCGATTTAGCTACAATATAAGCAGATAGGTCGAGATACAAGGGTCTAAAAGATAAATTGCGCTCAGGCCTTTCTGCGCAAATCCGATGTCTTGCTGAAACTACGTACTCTGGAACGTATCCTGTGCCGACCCCCATCGACAGGGCGCGTGAGCTCACCTTCGGTGACAGAAATGGATTTTGGCAGGTTCTATGTTCGTCTCCGAGTATGATGGCATCCGGGGCTTGGTTACATCATATTCCACATCTACCAGCACGGCAAGTTCGTTTAAGTTAACATGAGGCTATAGACGGATCATCTCTGCTCTTGTCCCGAATGCTGATTGTATGGCCCCAAGATTCACATTCACATCAGCATGCTTGTTGTGCCTGTATTATAATGCTCCAAAACACTCACTCTTTCACGTACGACCATACTCAGTAGAAAACATGGCATCCCGTCCGCTCTGCCTTAATTAAGCTGCTGAAGGCTGAACTAGTAGTTGGGTCGGTGACGACCAGCGAATCCTCGGTGTTGTACGTTTTCTTACTTTTTTTTTCCTTTCCGTCCCCTTCTTCAACCTCCAGAGAATCAATTCGCCGCTGCCTATTGGCCTCGGGAGATTGCTCGCCTGTGTTTCGATTTTCAAGAACTAATAGCACAATCGCGCACAATCGCGAAACGGAGATACATGAATGCGGTAGATGAGTTGCAACTCAAGCGACGATCCGGACTTCTCTGTTGACAAGACTTTCTTGTTCAGAGGATCATTTGATAGCTCTATTGTACACTGAATCTTGGAAGGAGCTTATTAGTACATCTTTCTTATGTCCTCTTCAATCTTGGCCCAGGCTGCTGGCAGCAAGATCCCGGTCAGCCAGTAATTTTCGCCAAGGTCTTTACCAAGCACCACAACTACATTTCGGGATGTTGAGCTTTGCCGCATCGACTGCGCATGGTGGTATATCATGGTACCAGGCGCGTTGGTTCTCTGCTGCCCTGTCTCGCCAGGACGCACAAGAGCCGGGCTGAAGTCGGCCGTCTTGAAAAAGTCGGCCCTGGTCCAGTTGGTGAAGGGCATCAGCAGGGCATCCGACTCACCACACAACACCATCGCCGGGTCGCTACCTGACTTAGATTCCCGCCGCATCTCGCGCAAGAAGGCCAATACCTGGGGCTCTGTCGACTGCTCCAACAGATGTCGGCGGTTCTCCAGAGCGATGGGCCCTAGGAGTCCTGTGGCGACCCCGGGAGACAGGAAAGTGAATGCACCCACCGCCATGTTCTGGACGTAGACACCCGAAGCCTGGATCAGTGACGGAAGTCGAAATCGCGCGTTGAGAGCATGAAGCACCGTCACTGGTCGAGGCTGTGGCAAAGAAGAAGCCACCGCACGCAGTGCCCATGCTGTCAACACATCGCCCTCGCTGATGAATGGCTTCTGTTCCCCGCCATCCTCGGCGGCGAGGTCATCCTATGCTTGACGTCGCAGCTCCACCCAATACTCCCTTGTTGTTAGTGCAGGGTCGCCTGAAAATCGAAGCCTAGGGACCTGAAAACCGATGCCACTACACCAAGAGCTAGGATCCATAGTCGGCACGAAGGAAAAATGTCACCGACACTGATGTATGTAATGCTGGCATAGACGTTACTTGTTGCTGGCGATGATGTCAAAGGAAAAGTGTGTTTTCCGATCATAGAATTAATGAAGTAAGTTGATGATGTTTTACCTATGATTAATAGATATTATTAGGATATTGATTATATTGATGATCTCTATATTATTAATGACTTTGAAGATTTGAAGATTTGTTTGATCTTGATATTTAAAATAGACGTTAATTTAACAGAATGTCATATAATGGAGAAATGAATATATATGGTGAGCTTATTCTTCTTTATGTCTAGAGGATATAGTAGGTAAATCCTATAAGTCAATTAGAGGTACTAAAACAGAGTCTCTATCTTTATAGTATCTATGTCTAACGTCTTTGACTATATACTATCATAAACTTAAATATATTTTATAAGATAGAACTCTCAACTTAAAGAGTCATTTATATCCAAATTATAACCTTCTTTTGAGTTCAGACTATATCCTATAGATATTTGTCGACCATTTATTTATAAGCTTTGGTTATTAGTATATAAGCATAGCCTTGGTTGCTTAACTGATCACTTTTCAAGAGTATTTGCCAGAGTCAGAAGTCTTTCTATTAAGGCAAAAGAAGAGCCGATTTCCAAGCGTCTAGATATGGCCAGACTCTATCATTAGATAGACTTAGGAGATTAGCTAGATAGGTTATTATGGTAGTAGACGAAGGGACCGGAAGGATGCTTTGGCTATAGAATGTAGCTATACTGTCGACTAAGTATCGAATGATCAAGCAGATAGTAGAGTGATATAGCCTTAGCTAAGATTAAGAAGCCTCTGACGATGAGCCTTTATACCCCTAGATAAAGCCTATATATAGGCTGGAGATACAATCTAACGACAATATCCTTAACGACAATAAATGTCTTACTTTCGCTTTAAGCCTATACTCTCGACCGTATAGTAACGAAAGATCAATAGATAGACTAGCATCATACTGGTGGAGACTAACTATATATCATCAGAGAATACTATTTGATGAAATATAAGTTATATTCGGTCTTAAAGTAGGCTTTAAGTTATTTTTAGCGTCCTTAAGTTTCTTTATTACTTTATTAAAGCATATTAAGGCGTATCGAGACATTCTATAACGTCATTCAATAAGATAACTTATATTATAGCCTTCATTATATTATATCCACCTACTTAAAACAGATAGAGCTAACGAATATAACCTTCTAAATAGCCAGACTTTTAGGAGGTGATTATGGCAGCTTTCAGCACCTTTGGCTATAGCAACCTAGTATTCAACCTAGTCCTTACAGACTAACGGCTGATAGACATTCTACCTTAGAGGCCGCCTATAGCATCTGGATATTGATAGTGGAAGCAACGATCGACTTTGGTATATTTGAATATCCTAGGATATTGAAATATATTGGGGGCGTTAGTATACTATCATAAAGCTAGCTATAAGTTGAGCCGGCCCTTTATATATATATTAAGCCTCTATATGATAATGCCTTATATTGTCGATTGGCATTGTCTATTTATATAATTTTGTATATAGACTATAGTAAGCTATAATGAATTTTTCTCCTAAGCATTTTGATCCTCTCATACGAAAGCTCAATATATATAGTATGACCACTATAGATATCGAGAAGATACTAACAGTCTATTAAAGCTTAGAGATTATCTAAAATAGTTTTATGAGAATACTCTAAAGATAGCGGAAGCTATAGTAGACAAGATTTATGATATCATTAGAATATAAAGCTCTTAGACGAAGATATCTAAAGCTAAAGTAGAAGCGACAATCATTAGTCAAGAAAAGTCCGATCATACTTAAGTTGCCTAAGAGAAGACTAATGCCAAAAATGCTGAGTATATGTCTACTCTTATGTTAGCCAAGAATAAAGAAGACTATCATCCGAAAAAGCTTAGAGAACCACCGTTTGAATAGGTTGTTATATCCTATCCTGACGATTTATCAATATTCAATCCTACCAGTAAAATGGCGTAGATTGGCACTAGTAAGAGAAGCGAAGATTTAGACACTCCCAGCTATCTATATATTATAGTTCATTCTTTTCAAGCAGACGATATTTATCACAATCTGTTTATGCTATAGTTATAGAATGATAGGTAGATTACTACTATACTTAGCTAGATACTGTCTGAAATTGAGATTTAGCAAGATATAGTCCTAGATTAGCAAATGCTGGCTTTAGAAGAATACTCATATGCTTTCATAATTTAGCGTCGAGTCAAAACATTAGAGGCTTTCTATAATGATTTTAGTTTAATAGTTTTAAGTATTTTATAATCATAAGATTATCAAGATAATATATTCTCAAATACTTTACAAAAATCTTTATTATTGACTATCTTATCGTTTAGCGAGACTATTTGCTTCTTAGAACTAGCATAGAGTCAGAACAAATGTCTATCAAAAGAACTTCTTACCTTAAGTAAAGACATAGAAGATAGCCAAACGAAAGCCATATATAATCTATAGATAAGCAAATATAAAGAAGGCAAATCCTTAGATACTCTTTAGTCGACTATATCATCAATAGAGACTAAGATAAAAGTCTAAGTTAAGATATTTATAAGCTTAGAATAATAAGTAGCAGTCGAAAGTAAAGAGAAGGACGATCCTTTAAGGATCCTTAAACCATCTATTTCATCAGATGACAGTCAATATAAACCTTAGGTCAAGCTGACAAGAGCCTAAAACAAGCAATATCTATCTTAGAGCCTAAAAAGGGCCAATATTTTAAGTATTGTCGAATCAACTATTCTATCAAAGATAGTTCAAACTAAAGTTTAAGTTATATTGGAAGCCGAAGGTAAGCGGCGACTAGATATTAAATCGATATCAATAAGTATGCTTACATTAAAACCTATAGGAGGCATACTATATAGTATGTCAGATTTGATCATAGATACTATCAAAGATATAAGACTACTTCATTGTCAGAAAGAAGTATCAGACACTATCTTGACGAAAGTGTTTACT